TTTTTCCCAAAGCCCTGGGATACCAGTGGCCAGCAGTAGACCCAGGGCAGATGGGCAACAGCTGCAAATCTTAGCTCCTTCACTTGTAAGTGGCATATTTGGAAAGTCACGTGATTTACCCAAACCTCAGTTTCCTCATCTATATAGTAGAGAAAATATTATTCCACACAGCGGCTGTGGGGTTTAAATAAAATGAAATCTGCAGAAGTACTTTGCAAGGTGTCAGTCCCTGCACACATTTGAGAGGTTGTTATTTCTAACCAGCGTTACTGTGGATTTTAGTTTAGTGGAAAGAAATTCTTCTATTTCATGTTCTATGTGGTAGCATCTTTGAATCCTACGTTCTCACTCATCAAACACCTTACAATGTGAAGGCCCTAGAATGTCAGAAATAGAAGAAAAACCATCATCTAATTCAAAGCAGCCCCTTCTCTGAAGCTCCTTGAAAGGGAGGTGGAGAGCATTTCCTTTGTTGAACTTGCTTAATTCAAGAGGAAAGAGAAAGCTGCGAATGAGAAATGCAAATCTAAAAAGAAACCCAGCAACGTGCCTGGCTTTGGTAATTGCTGAGATAAGAACATCTAGTCTCTAGCTAAACCTCTCCACACCTTCACTCAGAATTTTTTATGCTTCAGGTTTCCATAAAATGTCTCTGTGTTAAGGACTCATCACAGACTTATCCTATCCCACCCCGTGTTTCTTCTTTTCATCACTATTTGCCTTAGTTTGTTCCAGCTGCTGTACCAAATTACTATAGACAAGGTGACTTACAAACAACAGATATTTATTCTATGCAGTTCTAGGGGCTGGGATGTTTAAAGTTAGGGAACTGGCCAGTTCAGTGGTTGGTGAGGCTTGTTTCCTGGTTCCTAGATGACGGTCTTTTTGCTGTAACCTCACGTGGTGGAGGGGGCAGGGACTACTCTAGAACCACTTTTATAAGGGCACTGACCCCATTCATGAGGGTGTAGTCTTCTTGGCATCCCCACGCCCCATCTCTTTATATTGGAGATTATGCCTCAGCATATGAATTTGGGTGGCGCAAACATTCAGTCTATGGCACTATTGGTAATAAGCTTGTGCTTTTTATGTTTTGTTGGTTACTGTATTTTTCCCAGGGTGCTAAACTCCATAAGGGCAAGTCTTATTCACTTCACTGTCACCAATGCCTGCTTCAGCGTCTAGCACGTAATGGCAACACTATAAATATCTTTTGAACGAATGCATGAATCTGGAAACTCTAGAAATGTGAGAGGCAGAGGCAAGAAACTGCAACTGGGACAGAAATGAGAGCAGTAGAGCATGAAGCAGCAGAGCAGCCTGGGTGAGAGGATCTGACAATCTGGTTCCCCAGGACCAAGAGTCTGGTCAAGACCTTGGCAACAGGCTCCTGTAAGGTGGGCAGCAGACACTCCCGCCCGGAGGCCCTGGGGCTACTGCTATGGGTCCTCATGTCAGCGTGCTCAGAGGCCAAAAGCACCTTAAGCTTTAATGAGAAGAATGGGGGATGATGCCCGAGACAGAGCGCTGGGCTGCTGAGAGATGGGAAAGTGGACAAGGGTGGAGGCTGCCCATTACATTCTGGGAAGAAACGGCAAGGATCCTTCCTGTGGTCTTTTCCTCTCCTGTCACCTGGGGAAATATTCATTCAGAAATAGAAGAAATCTTGAAAGATAAACAAAGGAAATTCTTCTTCTATGAAGTGTCTTAGAACATCTAACACTTATAAGGTACTGGTGTATGGAAATAAGGGACACTGGTCCAGACACTTGATCCTTGTTCTCTCATTGTTCTCACAACAAGTGCTGCTTACTACATTCCCTCTGTGCAGATGGAAAACTGAGGCTCTGGGAGCTGACCTGACTTGTCTGGGTTGGTAAATGGTGGGGTTGGAACTGACTTGAGATCCCGTGCTCTTAAATTGCCATTAACAATTGCAAATGAACTGTCCACCTTTGAGTCATCACAGCCTTTTAGCCATATATGGTAAAATGCTAGAGCTCTCTAGGGTTTTGCCTTGATCCAGTTTTATCACCTCAGTTCACCAGGGTGTTTCTTGGTCATTTCCTGTGCACTGGCTCCCATGCCTCTGTTCCTAAACTTCATACTTCTATCTTCAGCTACTTGGTGACATCTTTACCTGCCTGCCCTATAGAAATGTCAACTCAGCATGTCCATATCTGAATTCATCTCTTCCTCGTAGTCCTCTTTCCTTTGACTATTCCCTGTCTAACTTAAAAGATGCTCTCACCCAGTCTGCTGAAAATATGAAAACTATTTCTAACATCCCCCTTCCTCTTCACATTTTGAAATATCTTCCTTGTCAGTCGTCTTCAGTATATTTTCTTTATTTCAACAGACCCTTATTGGTTATTATTCCTGACTATTGCAACTATTTTCTGTTTTTTGACTGACCTCTTTATCTCTATTAGAAACTCTTGAAAGCCTACCTGGATTATTGACTATATTTAAACAAATTAATAATAAAATGAAAATCTGAGCCTGTTACTGTTCTTTCCTAGTATTCTACTAGGAAGTCATACATCCTATTGGAGCTTAGTAGATATGTTTCTGTTTTTAAAAATAATATCAGATCAGTGGGTAAAGCAAATGTGGCATTTATGTACAGGGGAGCACTACTGCGCCACAGTGAAAGGTAAACTCGAATCATTTATAGGGAATGGATGCACCTTAAGACCGTAATGTTAAGTGAAACAAGTCAGAGATACAAGCTTGACTATCACATGGTTTCTCTTTGCTGAGAAACCCAAAACAAAAATAACAAATAGATAACAGGGAGATAGATTCTTCTGAACGAAGAAAGGTTTCAGAGGAAGGGGAGGGAAGGAGAGGAAGGGGAGGGATGGGCAATGGAAGAGGGAAGTGGGATGTGCCGTGCACACTCGCCGAGGCCACACGAGGAATACCAAGGTGATGTGCTGCGCACATGAACTAAGAGAGGACAATTTTAAAAATAAAAGTAACAGCAGAGGGTCTCATGTCTTTCCTCCCTTACTTTTTTGCTTCTCCCCTTGCAAGGATTTTTAAAATGAAAATTTCCTTAATCTCCCTCTTGGGTTGAGCTCTCAGACTAATATTATAAGGAGGTTTATAATTTGAAACAACATGTTCACATGCATTGTCTCATTTCTTACAAGACTCTTGATGAGCAGACAAAATTATCCCCATCTCTGCAAGTAGAGACATAAACTCAAATAGGACAAGGGGACTGTCCACATGTGTGGAATCGAGGAATGCTCTGATGAGCACTGGACCCTGAGCGTTCAAATCCCATCATTGTTCTGCTTTGCAGACCTGCTCTTTGGAGGCAGGCGCCACTACTACCTTAGACTTGATTTTACCATTCCGATGCATAAAAATATATCACTCTAACTTAGAAATCTCTCATCCAACCCAATTGGAACACATGGCGTTCAGTCAAAGGCTGACAGGGGCAGAGGCATAGGCTATAATGAAGAGGGATCTCTACTGGCTGCAAACACGCTCCACTTCTGGGAAAGAGCCAGCGTACTGCACCGAGCAAGGAAGCCCTTCCATTATCTTGCTATTGGCCAAGTAGGGGTCACGAATGGCACTTCTCTTGCAGTTGTTTGTGGTTCTGTCTAGCATACTAGATGTGAGCACTACCGAAGCAAACACTTCTCTTTCTTCTTTGTGCCTTTAGTGCCCAACACAGACATGGCCCCTCAAGAAACAGTTATTATTGGTCTCAGAGCTCATGGATTTAATGATGGAAGGGAACTTAGAATGTATCTTTGTAGACTGGTTACCAAATTCCAGTCGCATCTGTAATAGATGTATATGACAGAGAGGTATAATACATTGCTCATGTTTTGTGGCTATGAGTCTTTCTTGTACTTTCATTGATAATTTATTTCTTCTTTATTATTCATTGACTGTTATCATTCCTGATTTTATAGTTGAAGAAGTGGAAGCTTAAACAGACCAGGTGATTTGTCTTGTCCCTTAGGTCTGGAATTAGTTAGGAATTAGTGTTAGAGCTGGATTTGAACATAAGCAGTCAGATTCCAGTTTCTGGAATATGTAGCCAGCCCTTTCTGCCCCCATATTGAAGGCTGTTTCTGCTTTCTGGACTAAGGAGTCACGCTGTGAGGAGACTGTGGATGGGGAGATATGAGGTGCCTGCAGGCCTCCGTGAGGCGAATGCAAGAAGCTCTGTGTGTGTGGAGGGGGAGCTTTCACAGAGCTTCCTGGGCAGAAGGAAGGAGCCTAGGGGACAGCAAAATCAGAGAAGCCTTTTGGGATGTGACCCGGGGGACAGATAGTGGTGCCCAGGACAGCAGGGGAAGCCAAGCCCATTTTTCTCTGCACTGAGCTGCAAACACTGGCCATGCATGTCAAGTCTACAGTTTGGAAGGAAAAGATATAATACCCTCTTAAAACTGGCCTTCCATCCTTTCTAAAATGAAGGTCAGCAGGAGAGAAGTAGCATCTGAGATGCTAATGAAAGAAAAGCCTGATGACTGCAGAAGCAATTTAAAGATTTGTCTGGATTTGCTGAAGCCCCCGTGGCTGCAGCTTCTACTTGAAATTCCTCCTCAGCAGTCTGGAGGGGGAGATAAATACATTTTTTAAAAGTCCAATGTTCAGGCACTTTTGAAACTCAGGAAAGCAGAACCTGGGAGGCTTAAAATATCAATCATGTATCCAGGCTTGGCAGAGAAAAGAGGATGACGTTCTGCAGGTGTAACACACAGAGAAAATCCCCTCCAGGAACGAGTGATATGGAGGTGGATTTTACGCATGTGTGCATCAGACACAGACAGAGAGCTTGTTTCATCCTCAATGCGGTTCTGAATCCCAAGGCCCCCCCTCCCCTTAAAGAGGAAGGGACACACCAGCAGTTGCCTTCAGGAGACACCCAGAACTCATTAGGTTATCATTACACAGCCAAAGAGGCTCTGTTCCAGCAACAGGCTGAGAAGCCCTGGAGAAAGATTGGATTAAAAAACAAAGTATGAGCATTTTGAGATAGGAGTTTAATGGCAAGATTCTCAAGTTCCCAGCCAGAGCTTAGATAAGACAGTCATCAGAGCACACGGATTGTGATTCCGTATGCATCATCGCCTTCCAGCTCTGTAGTGGTTGTAGGGGGTAACACGGCAAGAGTCACTGTATCATCCAGGAGCCCAAGGCCTATGTACAGAAAGCCTGCAGAGCTCCCTCCCACCAGATTCGCTTCCTCTTCCACAGTCCCAGAGAATGCTCTTTCTCATCGTCTTCAAAGTGGCCTTCACAGCGACGTCCAGCTGCTTTCTGAATCAGAATCAATCCTGCACCTTTTAGAAAAAAAAAAAAAAAAACTGCTAATGATGGGATCTTTATTGAATTAAAAATTTTAAGGTGAAGGAAATAAAGAGGATCTCAAAAGAAAGGAAGAAACTGAGGCTCTAGAATTTCAGCATTCTTTGAGTTTAATTCTTATTCTTAGCTCTTGCCATTTTTCCAGGATATTCCTATAAGTTTGAAGGGCTTGACATTGTGTTTATTCTTGAGATGATACACAATCTTTGTGTACCTCCCTTCTCCTGAAATGTGTAGCATCTTCTTGAAATTGTCTGAAAAAATATTGACAACAGGGATTCCATTTTGTTGTTCAGACCCTTTTTTGAGTTGTGTGACTATGCTACAAACTTGCTAATATGCTAAAAGAAAGTTATTTGCTGAGGGAACATTCTTCAGAGGATTATATAAGCTAAACTCTTTCCTAGAATAATTGTATGGTCTCAGCTAGTCTGTGCTGGACTAACAAGATGTAGAAGTAAATTTATCCTCCAATCACAATTCTTGTCAAATAATCTTGGAAAGATCTAAACCCTTCCCCAGTGGGAAGTATTCTTGTTTTTACTGGAATGCATGTTACTCAAATTGCAATCCTGACTTTGAATGAATGTGTTTGGCTTAACAGATCATTTGAGCCTTTTTAGACAATAGTAAAATAAATATCTGTTATTTCTTCCCTGTGTTCACAGTCTATTTCAAATCTCTACATTCTCATTTTTTTCCTTTGCTTTTAATATCTTTGCTTGAAACAATGCTTCTCTCACTATCTTCTCCTGTCATATCTCATTCTGCTGGAAGAACCCATAAACTCTCATGATGAAAAAGCCCCGGAGAGGTGCTCGTCTCCATCTCAGAGCAATGACATTTTTCTGGAATGGCACTTTAGTTACCAGGGCCCAACATAACACCTGGCACACAATAGGTGTCCATATTTAGGATTAGTGGATGGATCATGCTTTGGTATAACAGCCAAGTTCTTGCATGACTGTCGATGACTTGATTTTGTCAAAATAGCTTTAGATTTGGGGACCCATGTTTAAGATTTTGACCCCAGTCTTGGTAGATTCTTAAATTTTTTAAGCCTTAGCTTGGCCACTTAACAAGTCCATTAGGAGGTGTTACTGACTTCATTTTGTGTTTATGTGTATTTCTGTATTTGCATTAGATATTCTTTTTCCCCAACAGAAGCACTTTTAGAGAGAATACTGAGTAAATTTTGGGATCTAGTCCAGAAGCTGCATTTATTTGCATCAGTCTAAGACTGGCCCCAGTCTACAGCTTCATGGTTCAAAGAAGAGACCAAGAATGTTTGGGGCTGTCCCCAGAGGCGGGACAGCAGTAAACAAAATGACCTCTCAGTGTTGGGTTGACATGCAGAACCAGATCCTGGTGTGTACATACGCTGAGTGAGAGCAGAAGATATGTGAGACATTAATTTATTTTTAACAAGCTAAAAATCTTTAAATTCTCAAGTTGCTTGCTTCCTTAATTATTCCTGATTTTCAAAGGTTTAACATTAGCTCAAATTTCAATCACTGTATAGTATCACTTGTCTGTTTCCTTGAGCATTCTTTTATGTCCTTTTAAAGGAGGATAGTTTTGTTCCCTTGTGCCGAGTTTGATCATAGGTGCCCTGGACTCTGGTCTCCAAGACTCCAACTGCTGTGGCCATTCTTACCCCAAACCCAGTTCCTTCAGTGGAACTGTGGTGGAACATGGACTGTACCTTCCTTTCTCCAAGTCCTGAGGGATTCTCCAGAAGTCCAACCACTAAATTTTCCCACTTCTGGCTCTCCAAGGAAAATTCTAGAACACCAAAACAGACACACACACACACACACACACACACACACACACACACACATACACACACACTGTGTATGCACATGTACCATATTCTCCACATTTCTTCCATAGTAGGACCAGATGGTCATTAAGAAAGTCTTAGAATCTGGTAATACAAAGCTTTTATCCAGCTGTCACCTTCTGTTGTTCCCTGAGTAAAGAACTATGGACTTGTTATTCTCAGGCCCACCTAGGAAGCTTCTCGCTACCATACTAAAGATATAACAAGGGCACAACATATGCCCGTGGGTCATTTGTGCTATATCCTGATTGACAGTGAGAAATACATTGGCACATGGAGTCAGAAAGCTCAGCTACACACTTTTAGTTCCTTTGTTCCCTAGCAGACCTAGGTGAAGAGTTAAGATATGACTGTGGCATTGCTTGGTAAGAGTGAAGTGGAGTGAAGGCTGCTTCTTGGATTGGGCAGTGTGGTGGTATCATGGCATGGTCTGATAGCTCTGCCTTTCACTGGGATGTTTTGCCAAATGGGATTGAAATAAAGGCATTGCTTTTCTTCCTCAGAGATCTATAATTTCATAAACTGCAGTTGGTAAAATCAAGGGCTCAGAAAATGAAGGGTTGAGTAAAAACAATTTTAAAAGTTTACTAAATGCTTTTGAAGATAGAGTAAATGAATATTTGAAAAAGTATGAAGGAGGGAAACAAGAGGGGATTAAGAGAGAATCACGCTGCATTATGTGCATGTACCCACTCTCCAAGAGGACTGCAAACTGCGTGTACTACAAACATGTACTAATTTAAAAAAAAAAGAAGGAAGAAAATAAAAGCTATTCTCTTGCTTTCTCAAGTCAGATTTATGGCTGTGAGACCTTGTTCATATAAATACACTTCTTTTGGATGGATGACTTTCTTTCTTGTTTGGGAAATATTGCCACAGCACTGCAATCTGCTGAGATTGAATACGTTACCAGCTTTATATTGTGCAGAATGAACCTTTCTTTCAACTTTATTTATTTTTCTGCAGGGCATTGAACCCAGGGCCTTGTAATCTAAGTACGCACTCTTCGTATCACTAAGCTACACCCGTTACCCACTTTCAGCTTTTTGGAACAGCCCTTTTATCCTGGCATGGCATTTGCTGGCCTTTCTGTACATATACACAACATATTCTTCACAGGTTTTTGGAACATGTCCAGCTAGTTCATGAATTACAAATAGGTTATCAGCCTCCGGCTCTGTGTTGGATGGATTTTAGATGTGGTAGTCAGAGATGGAGTGAAATTTGAACAATGAATTGAGGGAATTTGAGAAAAAAGAATCTCATTCCAAGAGAACAACCATTTGTAAAAACAAGAAGAAGGCCAAGGTGGAACTGGGAGAGGTGGAAAGAGGTGGGGTGAGAAGATGTGCAGCTCTGCTGTGTAGGGCTGCCCAGACCATGCAAGGAGTTTGAGGGCTGGTATTCAGCAGCCACCACAAGTTCCAGTGCATTGGATGATCTGCATGACCTTGAACAGGGCTCGTTTTATGCTCATTTCTTCTGTGCTAGCTTTCCTTATTTCCATTCTGGTCAGCCTCCTGCTGAAGGAAACCATTTCCGTCTAGATGCCGTAGTATCTTCACTGAGGCTAGCCCCGATCCTGCTGGCCTGGAGCCCGCTCTGTCTCTGGGAGATGACTTTGCATAACTCTCAACTTTACTGATTCTCTGGCTTAAGTCTTGGGAGGACAATCTCTTTGCCACGTTTCCTAGTTCTTGGGGAGCTTATCACTGCCACCTTCTTATCCCTATCGTAAGAATGTTATCGTGTACACAATTGCTTTCAGGATCCAGGCCAAAGGCAACAATAAAGGTTTAGAAAGAATTGTCTGTGGAGTCCAGGTGTGTTGGGAGCTCTAACAGCAGAAGGCAGACTAAAAACACTCAGCACTCTCAGAAAGGGAGAGTTAGAAATAAACACTGACGTCAGCCCTTCTTTCCCCTGCATTGATGCAGTACAGACGGGTGATGGCCCAGCATTTAGGATGTGTCTGGTTTCCTCATTAATCCTCCTCTCAATTCTGCTTTTATTAGCTCCAATGACAACAGCACATTCTCCCTAGGCAGCTTCTAAAGTCATCTAATTGTCATTAGAGCAATAAAGACTCTTATTTTTCTGCACAGTAAACAAATTAAACTGCTCCTTGGTATCTGAACCTTGTGAGTAAAGCATGATTGTCACTTATGATTCTGCTGTGCTTTGCAAACCTACTGTGTGCCCTTCATAGTTAGTTGATTTACATACAATATTTCATTTAATCTCTGCATCAGTATTTTCAAACTTAGGGTTACTGGCTCAATCTGCAGGAAAAAGTACCCCAAATTTCAGCATGGTAAGGTGTTTGTCCCTGATCAAAGTCTATGAATGGCCAAACTCTGATTCTAAGCCTGACTTGCACATTTACATATCCCTGTTCCACCTCACAGTGTTTTGTGCCTCTCTACTGCTCTAGATTGTCCTGTACAGCTTCCCATAAGACTTCCTTCTTTCCCCTGAGGTGGATATTCACTTGTCTTTCTTTCATAAGTATATCTTCACAGTCTTGTGAGGATCCAAATCCTCCCTCTTTATGTGTCACAGACTGTCATTGCTATGGACAATCTCAGAAGTTATTTTCTCTAGACCTATCCAGTCTTGGATCTCAGAAGGTAGACTTCAAGCTGCTTTCTCTCTTCAGAAATGTCTAGTGAAGTCAAAGTATTGTCACTTGGTTTGTATAACTCAAATGTAAGCAATTATTATTTGATAAGTATGATTTGTTCAATAGAAAAGTTTTAAAAGATTTGGTCCATGATGGAGGATGTGGTCCATAAGGGTTGTTAGTGAGAAGTGTGACAAATAACACCAAGCGGATCACATGGACTTTCCTTCCCTCCCTCCCTCCCTCCTTCTGTCTTTTTTATTACTTTTTTCTTTGGTTTTTGAGATGCAGTCTCACTATGTAGTCCAGGCTGGCCAGGAACTCATGATGTAGCCCAGGATGTTCTCTAGCACAGCACCTCACAGTCCCCAGGATAATAGGACACCCATGTGCCCCAGCGCACAGCTTGCTCTTTTTCTTTCTTTCTTTCTTTCTTTTCTTTTCTTTCTTTCATTTCTATATAGACTTTGCAAATGTTCACCAGAAGCAAAGGTGAACACAAAGTA